GTGTGTGCGTAGTGCGTGTGTGTGGGGGGGGGGGGGGGGCGTGAGAGCGTGTGTGTGTGTGTGTGTGTGGGGGGGGGTTATAATGTACGTAGGGTATGTATGTGTGAGTGCGTGTGTTTGTGTGTGCGTGTGCGTGTGTGTGTGCATGGTATGGTGTGGTGTGTGTGTGTGTGTACCTACGTGTTTGTGTATGATCGTATGCGTGACTTTATAAGTAATTTGGCGTGTGAGTGTGAGTGTGCGTGCGTGCGTGCGTGCGTGTTCATAACCCAACCTTAATTTTAAACATTGTGTTAGTATATGTCTTATTTTACCTTACCCAGATCATGACGTTATAATTTGCTTTTATGTCTAGTGTCTCGTAGGCCATACCTGGTCGGATGTTATATTTTACTGTTCATGTACGTGTTTTAGTATGAAGTGTATATAACATGTGACACTATAATAAACATTATTTTCTCTCTCTCTCTCTCTCTCTCTCTCTCTCTCTCTCTCTCTCTCTCTCTCTCTCTCTCTCTCTCTCTCTCTCTCTCTCATAACCCATGTGGCTGCATGCTCAGTCAACCGGGTAACAATTAGCACTGACTACGGATTTGTACACAAATCAAAGGAGAGGCGACATTTCGCTATTTTTCTTATGTGGTAGTGTCAGAAGCTTCGCTGTTACCTCCACTGATTTGAATTGCATAATGACATATGTCGTCATGAAAAGTCGATTCACGTGTCTATATCCATACACAGTCAGGGAAGCAAGTACCAACGTCACTACCAGGAAAATGTATAATGAATAGAAGTATGTATAAAATACAGATGTACAAGAAATAGGAGTTTGGATACCTTCAACTGTTATGGCATTTTAATACCAAAATGTAAACATTTCTCGTAACCAACAAACGGTAGACTTCCAACATGTGATGAAAATCCTGATGGCGACAATTATGGAATACTGTAAGGATCTCGACCTATGGAAACGAGCTAAATATGCCCAAAACACGAGAATGCGAGATCGCTAGAACGCGAGATTTGGCCAAAACCTCGCGTTCTCGCGATCTCGCATTAACGTGTTTTTGGTACATAGCACGTTTTGTCAAAAGTCGACAACGCGAGAATGCGATATTTGGATATGATGCAAAATCTCTCAATCTTGCAATCTCGACTTGTCAAATTAGGCCACAAAAACTCGAAATCTCGAGAACGCTAGAATGCGACATTTCATTTTCTCGCGATCTCGCGATCTCGTGTTCTCGCGTTTTAGACGCTGTCCGTGCGCACGAAACCCACGAGCACGGGTATGGTGCTGACGAACCTAGAAACATAATCGGGGCGAACCGAGATTCGAAACCACAATCATAGGTGTCTGGCGTGTCCAAGGGACACAACTCTGCACAGCGAATCGCGTCGCCTAAGGCGACTGGGCTACCCGTGCCCCCTTTAATATTGAGAGAGGTACCTAATATAATGTTCCAAGTGGTGATCATTTCATTTTCAACTCATAATTATCAAAATGAGTATTAAACTGATTATTTGCGGGAAAATGTTTATTAAAATACCCCAATTCCAACGAATATATATGAACAATTCTGATTGGCAAGCGCTGCATGTTTCGACTCAAACCATCATATGTAACCTTTGTAAAAAACGCGAGAATGCGAGATCGCGACACTTGACCAATGTCGCGATCTCGCATTCTCGTGCGTTTGTGTCAATTGCCTTTACAGTTATGTGCAACTATTTTTAAAACGCGAGAACGCGAGATTGCGACACTTGACCATGCCAATGTTGCGAACTCGCATTCTCGCGTTTTTCTGCCAATCACCTACACAGTCATCTAGTGGCTCAGTCGTCTGGACGTGCATAAAACCTATGATGGTGGGTTTCGTCCCATTTCTAGCTGACAAGTCGGGGTATAACTGAAATATATATACTGTTTAAAGCAGTGTTAAGCCAAACTCACTCACTTATTCAGAGCCATGCCGGTCCCTCAGGCTGGATATTGGGGGTTCTTTTCCAGTATAAGCATGCCTATCATGTGGATGTCAAGGCCGCAATATTTTAATAGTTAGAGTTTGATTGAATTTTAAAAACGCGGAAGACGAGACGCATTTTATTTTTAACATTTTATTGTTTGCTTATCGAACTATTTAAGGCATATGTATACAATTGCTGTTAAAGGGTGCGATTCACATGCATCATGCGTGTTCATTAGGGCTACGAGTACGGAGTAGGAACACACATATTAGCGACATTTCTATTTCTAGGAACTTTGAGGAAACAGAATAATGTAAGGCGGGATGTTTTGTAGAGGATGAAGATCTATTAATTAATTTTGTATGGCTTAAAGAAGCGAATATGGTGTCGTGTAAAAACATCGGACACTCTCATTTTAGCCGAATGCTACAAATTGGTCTTTGAGAATTTTGTTTTATTGAATATGCTAGCCGAGTATAATATTGCCTCATGGAGAAAATCACTGGCCTGTCATTATTTCTGTAACTGACAGTGCAGCCGCGAATAGCTGCAATACTACTGATGTGGCTTTAAGCAATATTTACTCTCTCACTGACAGTGATATTTTGTTTCCAGCCTCCGAACACTTTAATGTTTTCACTATCACTATACATTCATGTACACAACTTCTTTTGTTAAATTATATTGAACATGTTGAGGGTTTTAATTTAAAGTACACAGGAAACTGTACAAAAGGGAGAGGACTCTACTCTACATAGGACTTTGTGTATGTAAATTACATTATACATAGCATTTTCAAGCTCAAGTCATAATTTTGCTAAATGCGACTTGGAGAATGAAGAGCATGAAAGAAGCATGTCCTCTGAGAAACCAAACCAGCACGTATGTATAATAATGTGAGAGCAACGATCATAATCGGGAGAATCCGGGATTCCAAACCACGATGAGCGAATTCTCGATCAACCGGTTGAGTGGCGCATTCGACTATTGTGCTCGTGCCCTATAATTCGGCTATACATCGGCTTTATCACCCTTTTTATAACGGAACTTTGTGACAATAGTGAAGGCAATGTATATTTAATATCCCTTTGTCGTCTACTACCACATCCATACATGATTTTCAGATAAACACAATCATTTTTACCTGTATTAACACCGAGTGATTGCGTTGACATTTAATCCACAATGCAGAGGTCGCCTACAAGGAAGTAAGGCGACATGAAAACACCTGTATGCAGGCATACATACACTTACATGACCATCCGACCAGAAAATGTGTTTCTCCATGGTACATAGAAAAGAAATGTAAAGACATGATTGTAATGAATGTACTTCTCACAAAATATCGACGTAATAGATAGAACGCCAGCAAGCAGCAAGCATATAAGGGTGATGATGAATAAGTACGAAACTTTGTAGTCGTGCTGACAAGCCGCGGTTTGACGCGTGTGTTGAGTACGTTTAACTTGGTATTTGTGTCCGTATTGTTTGCATACTTTTGAACGTGTATGTGAGAGCAAATCACACAACTAATCAGTAAAAAGAGAAGATACAACAGAGCTTTCTTTCTCTTGGGATTATCCTGTGAACCGATAACTGAGATGACTACAATCACAAATTGTTCTCTCAACAACATTTTGGCTCAATACCTTGTACGGTTCCTCGCATAAATGTATTTTCCCACCTCACACAAATCTGGCTTTGCATTTCCTTTTTTTTAAGAGTATATATACAGACTGCATCCAAGGTATTGTTGATAGAGCGCCTGCACTGAGAGCGGAATGTTGTAGGTTCGATCCCCAGCCCCGTCATCCAGAAGTGCTTTAAAAGATATTACATGTTGTTACCCTGCCTGGCGCTCGGTAATAAGGGGCTAAAACAATAACTGGTCTTCTCGGAGTCAGGATACTGTGTCTAAGTGGGGTATTCATGTTACACTGCGGCATATGGTCGCTGAGCTGCCTGGTATGTTTTTATTGAGGTAAGAGTATATTCATTCCAACTATGTCCAAAGGAAACACTATAGACTAGTACAAGCAACTCTCTATCGCTCTCGTTTTGTTCAGATATTTTATACACTGTATTGTATAACTGTTTCAATGTAAACTTACACAAAACTTTAGAGGGCGTATATATTTGCTGTATGCATACACACACAGGGTTTAAACTAATTTGGAACAAAATTAGGTAATGCAGACAAAGTGGACCCATTATAGTGATAATAATCCGAGAACCTAAAGACGTTTACCCTTTGTCAGTATTTAACGAAAGGATCGTCACTTAACACGTTTAAATTGTCCAATATGCACGCAGAATCGCACAGAAACCGTCCCCTACCAGAAAAAGACGATATTAGTACGGAGAAGCTTCGCGAAGACTTCACAAAAATCTATCCTTCTCAAAACCAGTGGGTATCCTGCTGCATGAGTATTGTTTATGTGGAGATATGCATTGCAATGGTTTACCAGTCTCTGTGACAGTCTTGTTCTAAAGTTCTGTTCAGAAATAGGGGGTGCCACCAATTATCAGGAAATGTTCACCATCCAACATCGTGACTGTAGCACTTTCAAGTTTGTTTGCAAGATATATACATAGTGCCGTCGTTGGAGGATATATTGGTAGATCCCGCCATGAGGTTACGTAGAGACAGCACGGCCTTGGTCCAACCGTTGCAGTAAATCATGGAACTATATTGTTTTTAAAATGTTTGCCGACTTTAATTTGATATTACGGATATTTATAACGTAGAGGGAAGTTATCAGGATGGAGTTTAAATCAAATATCATGCGATTGCTAAATTTGCGGATTTATGACTTTTAACTTTTAACAAATGTCCACGTGGTGTGATGCCAGCTAGTTAATTAAAGAGTAATTAATACATAATGAATCAATACTTCCCAAGTATAATTAAAAACCATTGGAATACATGAATGAACACAGTTTTAATAGGCTAGCGCTTTCAACTCGTACCACGTACGAGTCTCATCAGGTCATATATATATATATATATATATATATATCAGGTCATATATATATGAAAGCGTAAAACCAAATGATTCAAAGTGCTTTTGAACTGTGTGAAAAGATTGGTCTTTCAATTAATAATACATGAAGTCAATAGCTGATATGTCTCAAATATAACCTTAATACTAATATGCTCACGACATTGGTCCTGCAAAGGCATAATCATCAGAACGATCTCTAACTTTTCCTCCATGAGATGAACTCAGCGTTTCAGATTTGCTGTTTGATCCAGGAAAATGGTCATAGTCATTTTCATCAGTCTTGTTACTTCCGTGGAGCCGTGCTACTGCCTTAGCCGCAGAAGCGGTAGTGTCGTAGTCATTATGGACTGTTTTAGGGTTTGTTTCCTTCTGGAGGAGATTATAGCCGTAGTCATCTTCTCGTGGATGTGCCCCAGTGCCTGCTGATTGGGCAACCGAGGCTGTGGTATCATAGTTGCTGGTCAGGGCAGATGGTTTGTCTCCGATGTGATCATAATCGTCTTCCGTGGCAGAAGGTGCAGAATTCTGGTTTGTGTTTGGTTTAGTGACTGGTTCGATTGTGAAATAGTTGTTCTCATTAGTCGCAATAGCTATACCGTCTGCAGTAGCATAATCATAATCATTTGATCTGCTGTTTGTCTTCAGTCCGTCTATCTCATGGTAGTGGTTCTGTGGTCTATTACCGGCTAAGCTATATGTGAAATCTGTCTTTACATCCTTCGACGGAGTTATTGTCTTCTCACTTTGATCAGTCTTACGTCTCCTGAAAAGTTTAACATTTAATAGCGTAATGTTGACCATTTTCTTCCTTACTGGAATAAACTTTTGTCACCATTTTAAACAATATATTTGCATAAACATTTATACTTTAACCTAAATAACCGAAAACGATGCTGGCAAAATACATACATTCATTTGTAATGACTGCATAACGTTTTTCATCAAATGCATAAGGTTGTCCATCCCCATGGGGACGACTTATCGTGCATTAACAGCAACCATCATTCATACACAGCAACCATCGTACAGCAGCCTCGGCTCAAGGCAAGGAACAAAATGCATGCACATCAACCATCGTGCGCGAAAAGCAACAACCATTGTGGAGGAAAAGCAATAACAATGAACGCAAAACACCTATCGTGGACGAACAGTGGCAATACTGATTCCATATCAACCATTGTGCACGAACAGCAACAAAATGCATTTAAATAAAGGGAAACAAAATGAAACCTTTCCATAGCCAGTAGAAACCTCCACATAAAACAGAATCGATTATACGATTCCTATTATATCGTGAGCATGAGTGCATGAAGTACTATGAAATAGTCATGATACGTGGTGTTCGCGAGAAGATGAGCGTATCCTGCCCCTCCGGTAGCACCCGTCACAAACACATGTAAAGGCAAGTCAATTGTTCACCTGAAAAGGCACGGGAACGTAATTGTACATGTATGGTACAAGTCAAAATAGGGAATTGCATCGGACATCATTTTTGTCACTGACGCTTCAAATTTATAGCATCTATCGTACATTTGAGACTTACCGTTTTCGTAAATACCACACCAAGGTTAGTGTGATAACAATTAGAACCAGGATTGTGGTCACAACACCACCAACAACTGCAAGTAATTTAAAAGAGCATTATAATAACAAAGTACATAATATATATATATATATATATATATATATATATATATATATATATATATATACATATTTTTTTTTATATAAATATCTGACCTGATGTCATCCGATAATGCAGGGTAATAAAATTTACTACATATTCAATCTTTGCTTCAAAAACCAAAGATTCCTTCCTATAAGCGATTATCAAATACACATCGTTTTATTTGAAGATTAACCATTTAACGTATGTTCTTCAAGTATGCTGTGTTCGATCTCCTTGTCTTACCCAAAAGACGGAACTTTTTACTTTGCCATGCATTCGACATTACGGGGATAAAACAAAGACCGGTCGGTTCGAAGTCAGTTTAATGTATCTAAGTGGATTATACAAGCTAAACTGGGAATTCATGATCATATCTCAGTGGATTAGCACTTAAAAACAAACATAAATATGGACTAGCGCCACACGCACGCACGCACGCACGCACGCACGCTCGCACGCACACACACATACATATATACAAATATTAATTTTATACTGAGGTGTTATAAAACATTCATTCCTGCATTTGAACATTATACCTGCTGGTGTTTGCCTGCTTCCTTTCATTGTTGGTGTTGAAGTACCACTAGTTGTGGATTCTGTAACGACATACAAGTATCACATATTTCAAAATGAACATCTGAAAATGTTGCCTCGCGGCGTCTTACCAAAAGACGGAACTATTTACTTTGCCATGCATTCGACATTACGGGGATAAAACAAAGACCGGTCGGCTCGAAGTCAGTTTAATGTATGTAAGTGGATCATACATGTCAAGCTAAACTGGGAATTCTCATCTCAGTGGTTTAGCACTTTAAAACAAACATAAATATGGACTAGCGCCACACGCACGCACGCTCGCACGCACACACACACACACACACACGCACACACACAAACATATATACAAATATTGTTATACTGAGGTGTTATAAAACATTCATTCCTGCATTTGAACATTATACCTGCTGGTGTTTGCTTGCTTCCTTTCATTGTTGGTGTTGAAGTATGACTAGTTGTGGATTCTGTAACGACATACAAGTATCACATATTTCATAATGAACATCTGAAAATGTTGCCTCGCCGCGTCTTACCAAAAGACGGAACTTTTTACTTTGCCATGCATTCGACATTACGGGGATAAAACAAAGACCGGTAGGTTCGAAGTCAGTTTGATGTATATAAGTGGATCATATATGTCAAGCTAAACTGGGAATTCATATCTCAGTGGTTTAGCACGTTAAAACAAACATAAATATGGACTAGCTCCACACGCACGCACGCACGCACGCACGCACGCAAACACACACACACACACACACACACACACAAACACAAACATATGTACAAATATTGTTATACTGAGGTGTTATAAAACATTCATTCCTGCATTTGAACATTATACCTGCTGGTGTTTGCCTGCTTCCTATCATTGTTGGTGTTGAAGTACCACTAGTTGTGGATTCTGTAACGACATACAAGTACCACATATTTCATACTGAATGAAATTAAGATTCACATTTTTAAACCTTGATGAGACTATGTCTTGATTAATATATATCAATGTGTTTTCATTCTTCTCAATACAAACTTTATTTATTGCTTCCGTTGATTAATCATGAACTAAATATACAAAAATGAGGCAAATGTTCACTCGGTGTACATGTAATATATAATAAAATAATAATGTCCACGTTAGTCCAACATCTTCTTTAAATCAGTAACGTAAAATAAGTTATCAATGTTGACATTATGACACACGTAAGGGTATGCTCCTCCTGTTATTCTGATGATGTTTTAACCAAGGACTTGACTTTTACATAAATAGAAATCAAAAGGGAGCAGCTAGACAAAATATTAACAGGAAGAAAGAGGGCGACACAAACTCTTTATTATGGAGCATATATTGTACGAAAACACCGAAAGCTGAGATGCTATTAATTTCATGTGAAATCGAATAACGTGGCGCAGATGCATGAAACGTTGTGTAGGATCTGTCTTATCCTATATGTATGTACACTCCCATAGCATTGACATATGTGTCAACACACTATCGTATCCTTACCTTCACTGCATTCATATCTCACAACAGAAAATGCAACATATGCATTTCGTCGGAGTGCACGAAACGTACAACTTGTGGAGCAGTGTCTTCTTAGAAAAGACATCTCAACGGTGTTGAAACTGTGCTTTCCGGATTCTGTCACATTGTCCGGGTTCACTTTCTTGCAGCTAGTGAGGCCGTGTACAGTACAATCCTTGTTGTCAGTGTAGTAGGCATCTTTGATGTCGATCTTCTGGGTATTGTTGCAGTTGATTTTGTGTACAGTGCAGGGACGGCCAGCAGTTCCATAACATGCTTTACTGGTATGTGGTGTGCCTACGTGAAAGACACATCAAGAATATGTACGAACATTTACCGTGAACAGCTGGTATGGCGCACAGTGCATGCGAATAAATATAAAATGATCTGCTTCAAATAGAAATAGTGTTTTCATTCCATTCCATCTTTACAAAAAATAATCATTTAAAAAGCCATGAGTTAATGCCTGGAGACCACGACATTAACACCATAATCATCTCTCTTTTCAGAAAGAAACCTGTATACAATGATATTCAAATATTACTTTACATGCATAACTTGTATTTATGCATGCCATATTATTTTACTCTATCTCAAATAAAAGAAAAAACAGGTATCCATACAGAACAGGGTGATCAGACAGTAATTCCTATCTGGGTGAAAAGTGATAAATGTATTATCTTACTTCTGAATGCTTAATTCTGATTGGTTAAAAAGAGGTTTCTTTTTTTGCTACGGAGACCCCTTATAAATACACTGAGCTTTTTCACACAAAAAAACGTGCGCATGAATACATCGATAGCCTACATATCGATTCATAAAAAAATGGCTGGCGATCGATCACCACTAGGAACTGTAAAACGTATCGATATTTCCTCTATTACACGCTTGGTCCCTAATACAAACCAGGTCTCTAATACATGCTAAGTCAATGGCTCTCGCGAAATAAATACACGGCCTGGCGTCTAATAGAGGAAATACGGAAGTTTGATATCGGATGTTTTTGGCGATGAAATGTTGTTCTAGGCTGTAATCCTGACTGATTCGGTGATGAGATGACAAGATTCTATGAAGGCATATCTTTTGCAAACAAATAATGTATACTTTTGGTATAATTGAAATGTTTATGAAACTGTCAGGGACATGTTCGAAGCGAACAGACTGGGAATAGGTAATTTCGATCGTCATTGAAACGACCAACAATGAAAGTAAAAAATAACATAGTAAAAATGTGTTTGATGAAACTTTATTTTTGACAACATGTTGTTTACAAACCTTTTTGTGTTTGCTATTCATTGCAATCTCCGTCAACCACAACCGAAAGGATTTGGCTGGAGGGTTTTTGAAAATCCATCAGAAAACACCCTTCCATTCGATAGCCACGAAAACAATGTCCCGACATCACTGACGTCACAGCTCATCAAACTTGATGAAATTCATTTCAGAACACGCACAATTAAGAAAATCATACACGAACCACTATTTCTGGGCCAAAAGGGTCTCATTGCTTTCACACTCTGGCTTTGAATCTTGAAATTGACAGGTCACACCATGCAGATTTCTCGTGACAAAATATCCGGCTCGTCTTCAGCCAAACAAGCGGCTGTTCAGTCATACTCAGTTCCACTGGTAAACGTATTGTACCAGCAGGCTCGATCATTCCCAGTAGATCTACAGGTTCTTACATTCTCCGTAACTAGTTAAATGAAGCAACATGACAACCCCGATCTATGATGTGGTTCAACATTAAACCACAAAATTGACAGCCATTGACAGCTGTGAGGTGTGAGTAACCGTGATGTAGGTTAAGTTCTGCAACATCAAGGTTCGGGGTGGAGAGGCATTTATATTGATTTTATTATTGTTTACTGGGGGTTATTGCTAACTAACTAATAACACTTACGCATGTTAAATATATAATAGAATGTTAATTCATAAAGTTTGGAGTAGAAATATATTCGTTCAGCATTTTAAAAAGCATTTTAAACCCTTTTTCTACAACCTGTCACCCCTACAATGGAAATGGCATATTCGATTTCCAAGAAATGACCCCTCTCGTAAAGTTATAAGAAATGACATCGTCAGTCCAAACAGTGCAGAAAGGGTTGGTAGAAATTAAAACATCTGTCTTTGGACTTAGTTTCGGGTGTTATTTTTCAACTTCTTTTTGGGAAACTATGTGTTTTGAACACATATTTTGAACTACTCAAGACTATGGTGTTTTTAATGTTGAACTTTAGTAATAATTGTTACATATTGTTACTAACTGTGACCAGATTTCGGAATTTTCTAAGATTGCGGACCTGTGTACCTGTGTTGTTATGCGTTGCAAGAGACCACAGTTTTCAAAGCGTTGTTGCCGTCATGGTAGAATGGAGATATCGCTCGGTTCCAAATTAAAACAAAGAGGTATCTACTCTACAGTGGGACTACATCACATTTCAAAATACAGTAGGGTTAACTCCTAATTGGTGAAACTTCTGATAAACTTCTGATAAAGTTTGTTCAGATGGGTTGGACTGATTGACGCACCAACATAACATGCCGACTAAAACGTGCAACTTAGGGCTTTCAATTCCTACGCCGATTTGAAAAAAAACATATGTCAGATATGTAACGACGGAAAAGCCCAAAGTGATGCAGGACTCGAGCACGGGTACAGTGCTGATAGACTAAGAAACAATATCAGGGCGTTTAAAAAAGTATCTAGTACCAATGCTCGTGTTTCTTTAGTGTACGGACAATTGTAACGGTCAACATTAAACTCGTTGTTATATAGTGAGTGAGTTGGGTTTAACGCCGCTTTTAACAGTATTCCAGTTATATCACAGCGGGTCAGCTTAATGTGGGAGGAAAGCCCGAAGTGATGCAGGTCTCCAACGTTTACCACTTCGGTGAAACCCACGAGCACGGGTATGGTGCTGACAAACCTAGAAACATAATCGGGGCGAACCGGGATTCGAACCCACAATCATAGGTTTCTGGCGTGCACCTACTGTAATTCCAGTTTACATGCAGGGTGCTAAGCAAACAGGAGTTATCGGTATCTACTTATATAGAATATTATTGCATGTACGTTTGTATACACAGTAAACTACATTGTAATTGTTGATAGCGCCGACTGTTTTTGTGATTTAACATAACATTGTTTACAACATTCCTATACTTAAGAATACACTTTTTTATATAATATAATTATGATCAAACAAAAATAGTTCCGGAAGAACTATGTCCCACCCCACTGAATTAACGGAAACAATAGAGCCTATGTCACATTTGGTAACAAGCTGGGTGGCATGACTACCTTTCATATTATAACACGAATTAGCAGATCAGCGTCAGAGACAATACATTTCTCTGATATTTTGATCCATTCCTATTATAATCCTATTGCAGGAATATTTGTGCTATATATGTTTACATAACATAAATCAGAGGAAGCTGTAATATAAGTGCCAACACATGTGTGACATATTACATAGACACACCTGATAAGTCGGCAAAACGGAAACTGGTAATCAAGGTCGCGTTTTAGATTTTGAAGTCATTAAGATAGAAAAAATGATATTACTATTTTGACGACCTGCAGTGCTGTGTGGCGGTCTTTACCAACCCAAGTTATAAATACCAAACTGGAATTTTTTTTCGTACCCACATAAATTTTCCTGATGCTAAACTGTATACTTCCAACTTCCTAAATGTAATGATGGATACCAGATATCCAGAAATAAAAGCGCATGAGAGTCGGATTAGGTTAAGTAAAATATGATTTCTTATATCGGAATGAATAATGTGTCTCATCACGAATTTAACAAGTGCATGAAATGAACATATGTCAACATCATCAGCAACTGTTACTCAATCAGTCTCTAACCACCTCACTTATAACCTGGTTGGCTGTTTTGAATTCTGGTGAAGCGACACTTGTCTACTAGCTTCCAGTAAGATTAGGTTAGATGTCACAGTAATGTCGAATTCATTAAAACCTCACCTGCATGAACCACCTGAAGCATGTAGAACACACAGGCGATATTACTCCAGTAGTTCATGGTCGAAGTGGGAGCAAATCTGTCGTCCGTGTTTAGGCCGCCTACAAGGAAGTAGAATAAGGTAATCCTGTTATAATGTCCTTGTTCAACAATGATCGTCATACGGCCGTCAGCTAATCAGCTGCAAATCGGCCCACCCTCAACGTATACAAAGGATACCTCTAGTCAGCACACAATGCCATTTAGAAAGCGGTCAAATGTAACATTTGTCACATCGACATAATTGTTGGCGTCAAAATAGGTTTCATAAGGACCTCCGAACATGACTCGTATATATGCACTTCATCTGTCGTAAAAAGCCACGTCGCCTTTGTCCCATGGGTGTCACGGGTAGGAAAGTTGAGGATTGGATTGTCACAATGTATGATATGGTCACTAAGATGCTGACGGCGTGGATCGCTGCATGTGCTTAAGATACAGGCCCCAACTTCGTTTACAAAAAATACCCCGAGTAAGCATACACTAATGACACAATTGTTTGTGTGGGAAACTATTTCATAAAATGTTCAATGAAGATCATTAAACATCACTCGTATATATGCATTTCTCCCCGTTGTAAACACAATTGCAAGCACAATTCGCGTGCTCGGTGGTTTTACCAACAAAGAAAAAGTCTGAGGCCTTCATGAAATCATCACTTTAGATTTTAGATTTCCTGAACACGCTCCTGAAATGTCACCTATATATACCCTAACATTGAGAGCGTTCCGCTCTACCGTACACACAGACACAGCACATGCATGGAAGTTGCATAAAAGCGTGACTTAATAATTCCCTTTATGCAGATATACAGCAAGAAGTACATGTTTGCGACTAACGTGAAACCGATCAGCACGTCAGAAATGTTTTGAGAGCAAGGGTTATTATAATGGCGAATCTGGGATCGTAAACTACACCTGTAGGTCACAACATTTTTTTTTTTAGCTTTGCCGGAGGAGACAAAATATGTCTGTATTTTTAACTGTAAAATAAAAACAGCAATACAAGCCGCTATGACTAAACCCTTTATATATTCATAACAAATATAACATATATTCATAAGTCCATTTGCCGACAAGATCATCCGCATGTGTTTATGAATCACTATGGGTATAAATACACAAGGCCACATCGGCTACATAGGGCTTTTCTTAACGGAGCTTTGTCACAGGAGTGCTGGAAACAAATGTATTTAAGATCCCTTTGTCACAGCGAAGCGATATACCTGATTTTCCGACAAACGCAATTATTCTTACCTGTATTAACCGATTAATTGGATATATTCCCAGAGCTCATGATCATACACGTCGACATTGTGTTGACATTCAACTTGTCATGGTGAGGTCGGGTACCAGGAAGTAGAGTTAAAGCACAAGTACACGGGTGTCCTAATTCACATTAATTGTGTCCTAATAGTGACATTGACCTTCTTCTGATGCACCTATACGGGACACGTGAGGCATTCCACAGTAGTATATACTTACAATAGTTATTATTTGCGTCTTGGTAAGTGTCTGTGACAAAGATCTAAAAGTTTCATCGTAGCCTTTAGCAGGATTCTGACATATTGCCTGTGTAGAGGAGTTTAGCGTCACTCTTGTGGGGTTTCTTATATTCTGTGCTGATTTTTGTAAAATACGCATGTCATAACAAACAAATGGAAAGAATGAGTTAGTGCAGAAATTTGGTAAAAAGGTGGAAAGAGCCTGCCGCCGAAACACACCAACATGACATGCACGTGCAACATCACTTGTTGAGCAATACAAATTTTGGGTTTTCATTTGTTTTCCATCACAATCTAACAGCAAGTGATAAGCGAAAACATGCCACCACTGACGGAAGCCCAACGCATTAAGGCCATCGGCGACTGCAAACAGGAGTATCATCTTCAGGTGTAGCCAGGTTTGTCCACATAATACCAAGCACCATTACAAAACTGGAACCGTTATCAGACACAAGGGACAACACGTGAACTTCCCAGATCCTGTCGAACACGTACCACTTCTTGAGCACAGGGCAGATTCATACGACTGATGGCAAAAAGATGCACTCAAAGTGAGGATATAAGATGCTTTCAGTTTAAGATTATTCACAACATTCTTACAACTAACAAATATTTATATAAAATTTGATATGTTGATTCTCCTATATGTACCTTCTGTACAAATCAACCTGAAACTATAATCAATATATTTTATGATTGTGAACGTGTAAGAAAGATTTGGGAGAAACTGTACATTTGAATAAAATCCGTTGTTGATTTGAACAGAGAAAATGTTTTGTTTGGATTTCAAGGCAAACTCAACAACCCACTGAATATTGTACTTTTAATAACAAAACAAGTAATATACAGACAATGTAGGAAAGGGTTATGTCACATTTTGAACACATACAGCATGAGATAATTAGTTATTAAAATGCTACAAAGACATTGTCATTTACAAATTGTAACTATGCAAACTTTGTTAGTTTCTGGTCTTCCTTCCACATTTTGTTTAAAAACCAATCTGTAAGACACACTGATACTATAAGTTGACTTTATAGGCAAGGATGTATATGTTTGTAAAGATGCACACTTCTTGAATAGCATGTAACACAATTTTATTGACATGACAGGCATATAATATGCTGTACCTACTGAGATGAATAAAGAAGGGGGAAAAAATAAGTGTTGTAGGCGTCGCAGATGGCGATCGTTTGGGTACTGCAGCAGTGCTGAGTAGAGGGAACGCCAGTGTTACGATTGTATCCTCTTCGTGCTTGGGTTGTTCACGTACCTACATGAGGTTGAGTCAGTGCGGGGTGCCACTGGAGGAATGCAGAAATTGAAAAAGAGGAAACAGAATTGAAATATCCCCGTTTCGTTTGGTGGGTTACCGGCTTGTCCCAGACAGTTCATGTTTTGTCAACATTTTTGGTAAATGCTACCAAGTTTGGGATATGTCTCGGGATCAACCACCAGACAAGACGACTTGGGTCAAGTAAATAAACGTCACGAACCCCATTTCCATAATGTTACATCTCGCACTATAATCAGAGTCGATTGTACTTTTCCAGGTGTATCATAAGCATGTGTTCTTCATTGCTGTACTCCCATATTAGGCTGACACGACAGTTGCAATACTGCCAGTTCCCTTTCAGACGGATTAGTTAATCTCATATATATTTGTTAACAGCCATCAGATTTGGAATAATAAATATACCATCTTATTTAATAGTCAAATTTATTTGCTCGATTCTAGTACAATTCAGTGTAACTACCGCACTATCACTGCTCCTGTTGAGATATCATACTTCGTTTTACACTATGAACATTATACACAAAACATAACAATTATAATTTCGCTCGTCACACCGAAGGCCCAAGTTTGATTCACCACATGGGAACAATGTGTGAAGCCCATGTCTGTTGATATTACTAGCATATTGCTAAAAGCCGCGTAAAACCATACTCTCTCGTTTATATACCGTAAGTACGGTTTGTGTGTCTGTGTAAGTGCAACATGGCTCATGAGAGGCTCATGAATGAAAGTTGAAGCATGTTATGCGCCAATCCCCGTTTTGCTTCATTGATAACGCGTGTTAGAGAAGACCGGGAGTGATCGGCAAGCATTTGTATGGTGAATGTTCCATGATGTTATGTTCGAGATGATAACTCATAACCCATGTGGCTGAATGTTCGGTTAACCAGGTGAATATATCCACTGACTTCGGATTTATGCACAATCAAAAGGGTGACATTTCGATATTTATTTTGTATGTGGTAGTGTTAGAAGCTTCGCTCTTAAAATTTCTACCTCCTCTGACTGGAATAATAATATAAGTTGTAGCAGGATCTCGAGAGGTACATGGGTTTTATGCTTCCCACTTTATGTTAGAAACCTAACGAGGGGCACATAAAACCCCAAGTACCCCGAGTGATCCTGCTACAACGAATGTATCTTACTGACATGTTTGAATATGACATTGTAAAATAATTCAAATAAATTCAAAATTGAAAGTAAACAGCCGTTCGACTGACCTGAGGATAGCTGGCGCAATGTCACGTTACTTGACACTGAAAAGGCGTGCGGCTTTTTGCTTTGATGCGGGTTATAAGAGATTTATTCTGTCTCTCAGACATCCACGTGCAGCCTGATTTGCTCGTGGCGGGGTATAAGAGATTTATTCCTCCACTGAGAAATCTATTACCCACCAAATTAAAGCGGGTTACACCGTATTTTATCAAGATCACGTGGACCAATCGGATTTCATCATTCTGACATGGAGGTATGATAATGCCATATATCGTCATGAAAAGTCGATTGACGTGTTTACGTGCATACACAGTCAGGGAGGTAAGTACCAGTGTCACAACCAGGAAAATGTACAGATTAAATACCACATTAGTGTTCCGCCTTGACCCGAAATTAGATATACTGTCATTGTCCATAAAGTATTTGTAATGCTGGGGCGTAATATCGGTTTATATTTCATTGATACCAAAACATGTTTGAGTTAAATATATAGAATGATATCCAATATAACAAAAAAACGACGAACAATAACAGTTGGAACAGGTTACACCTTGCATACAAAATACTTTGTGATTGTGAAATCACTGACCTTTGTGACTGACTAATTGTATTTGAAAAAAGATGGGACTAATGGTCTACGGGGCGGCAATGTAGTGGGCAAAATTGTCTCCCTTACGTGTTGTATCCCAGAATCCGCAGTTCATGGTTTCAACTCCCTCCAAGTTTCACCCTGGTAAGCACCAGCACAACGGGTATAATTGTCTACTTCCTGCGGAGGTGTGACACAAAGGACATCTCACAGACATACAACACTGTTATTGCTCCAGGATCACTCCCGAGCCAAATACTAGTTAATTAAGATACACGGATGACTTATCGATATCGTAGATTTCTTCTCTTGTCGGTGATACAGAATCGTTGCCTGATGAAATATATATTATCGTGGTAAATCAAATGTTTTTGTATTCTGGAGTTGACACCAAGTCATGTGCCGTATCCCCTCGAAACCCGGAAGTCTGTTCAATAATGTCATAGTTGTTGACATCACCTCCAGCTGACATACCGGAGTAGGTGGGATGTTCAACAGAAGCTGGGGTGTCTCCTTGTTTCTTCGGGGTAAGATTGTACCGAGGTCTGGAATGACACGTAATGTGTATGAAATATTGTTTAGAGAATGGGCACACTTAATGTTAAAACCGATGATATTCCATTGCGATTCCCGTCAATAGTAACTACTAGTAGGTAAATCCATTCGTGGTGTCCTCTGTTGTGATATGGCAGTGGGGTTTGCAAAAAGTATATTCACTCACACACTAAACAGCTGAGATGGGCCTTAATTGGATAGACGTCTTTTCTAAGTATGTTGTTCACTAAATAATCCCGGAAGCATAGAATGTGACTTTAAATATACCTGACAATGAGGACGTACACTGCAAGACCGACCAGAATGACCATAACCCCTCCGACAGCCACTCCTCCCACAAACAGACCGGCTGGAACAGTAAATAACCACTGTGTACTCGACAGAGAATTAAAATTAGATTGTTCTTAAATGACATTCGATTAAAAAATACATTTCGAACATTTGATCTAACTTCCTTGCACTGTTACTAATCATCAATGGGTGCAACCAAATGACCAACAGTTACATATGTTTCTACTTCACATTTAAAACCCCCAAAATAACAACAGCTTTGTACAAAATAAAACATACTCGAGTATGTACATGTACATTTGCAAGCCGTTTTGTAATTAGGTTGCAGTGACAATGAATTATATATAATAAGTTATCGACGACACTTATAAATAAATGAATGTAATCACGTGTATTTGTTTTATCTTTGAAGAATTACATATGAAATAGTTGGTCCAGTGACGTATCCCTCTTTCAAAAATATTACAAACATTTTCATCTGGTAAACTTAAATTCGGAACTAGGTAATGCCGATATGTAATCATATACGCCTTTTTTTAAAGCATAGTTTGTCGCATTGCATCGATAATGATGGTTGCTATAGTCTTAACAACGTATATGTACCTTATCGGACTGAACAAATTGGCAAGCCACAGTGAACCACCCATAACTGGTGTTAAGGACGAGATCGCTGTGTAAGAACGAAGTTATTTGTTTCATCTTTTGATCAGTTATATGTGAAATCCCTTGATACAATAATGCATACCTGGAAATCGTGAAGAGGTTGATACAAGAGATATGTCCTCAGTTGGCGCAGTGGTGAATCTTACTTCTAAAAGGATTGTACAAACGTGTAAGTGCTATACATGATCAGTAATGAGGATAAGTGATGGATGCAAAACACAAATATATTATCTTGTACACGGAAACGTTAATTCGGAACGATGTAATTTTAATAATATTATCTAATCAGCAATTCACACAATGTGCAACATATTTCGTCACGTCGTATTGATAATGATTAATGCTATGACTGCTAAACAATAACAAGGGAATATCGGTAGTTATCGATGATGGAGCAACATAATGCGCATGTGTGATTAGAAATATAGATCACAGTTGCTCATCTTTGTCCCCGCTCTTTTCTATTCTTCAGCTTTGTTTTTCGACGTTTTCAAACAAAGCCTACAAAATCGGTCAGTGTACAATGACATTGAAACAAGAAGAACGTGGTGATTGTAAAAGGGCGAACTTAACTAAATGTTGATCTTGAGATGTTATTTTCCTCTGAAATTACACTGCGCAGATCTATAAGGAGGATATGGGCTTAGCACCGCAGTCAACAATATTTCGGCAATAGCATGGCAAACAACTCTGAGGGTGTGATGTCGTTAATGTATTGTGAAATCGGATGACATTGCGCAGATGTATAAACCTTTGCGTAGGATATGTGCTTAACGCCGCAGTCAACAAAACACCGACAAGCCCCGAGTGAAAGGGACAAGGCAAACAACTGACTGCACACACGAGCAAACATCCACGTTATTGGGTACGATCACACACAATCATCAAAGTCATTGAGCCTGGGTAACTGCTTTCCCCTTTAGTCAGTTCTTAGCTTAAGCATGAGGTACTGGGGATCCATTCTGACTGTGATCCAATATGGTTTGCGTGCTTCAAGTCATGTGAACCACAATCTTTCCGATATTTTCACTAATTCTGTAAGTGAAGTGAAATCACAACACTCCCACTATTTTAGTGTCATTATCCTACATGTATGTATGCTTCCATAATATTGTGTCAACATGCTTTCGTATCCTTACCTTCACTGCATTCATATCTCACAACAGAGAATGAAAGAGTTTCATTTCGTCGGAGTGCACGATACAAACAACTTGTAGAGCACTTGTTTTTGAGAAAAGACATCTCGGCGGTGTTGAAACTGTGCTTTCCGGATTCTATCACATTGTCTGGGGTCACGTTCTTGCAATGAGTTAGACCGTCTCTCGTACAATCCGTGTTGTCAGTGTAGTAGGCCTCTTTGATGTCGATCTTCTGGGTATTGTTGCAGCTGATTTTATGTTCAGTGCAGGGAAGGCCAGCAACTCCATAACATGCTTTACTTGTATGTGTTGTGCCTACGTGAAAGACACATCAAGAACATATACGGACATTTACCGTGAACAGCTGGTATAGCGCACAGTGCATGCGAGAGAAAAATTACCACAATATGATCTGCTGATAACTGAAGTGTTTCCTCTCCTTGTAGTCATTTCTTCATAACAAAATGTGCTGGAAGCAGCTGCTCTGAGTTTCTATCTGGAGGCCACGACATTAAGACTGTAATAATCTCCCATTTTAGAAAGAAACCCGCATACATCCACACATATAACGACCTGCATCCCGTGCATTTACACATATTTTTCTTACTACCTCAAATAACATAACAGGCATGCATAAAGAATAAGGTGATCGGTCAATTATTGTTTTCCCATTTCTTCTTTGGTAAAATATGTTTCCTTCTCAATTCTTAAGCTTGTGTTTGAAACAATATTGGCCTATTGTACAAGTGTCACATGTATTTTCAAAGTTCTTTATTCACCGATGAAGTTTGTTCAGATAGGTGCGATTGACAGACTATTGACCATATGACGAATCTAGGATTCGCACCGAGAACCAAGTCATGCCTGATGGACTCAGCTGTACAAAACATACGTTATATAAGGTTTTCATGAAGCCACTTTGAACTAAAATAGTTCAGTTATATAATAGCGCGTCAGCTTGATGTGGGAAGACAGCCGGAAGAGATGCAGGTCTTAGAGGCGTTCACCACTTTCACAATTATAATGCTTGACATTAAATCCATCTCTATAAAGCGAGGAGATAGACCCACTGGAATACTTGTCCACATGCAGCACGCAAAGCAAAGTAAGATGTATCGCTAGCTATTCTGATCGAATATTGCATGTCCGTCATCAATCACGGGGAACTATTTGTTGATAACACAACTAGACATGTTCGTGTGGTGCCAGATGACACTATATGGACAATGTGTGTAAGATTCCTATTCTTAAGACTACACTTTACTGTCATATACAGTAATGCATACAGTCAATGTATTGTGACGTCATGACAAAGAATGATGCGTGGGCAGGAGATAACACTATGTATATGGATCAATAATAACTACTATTATTTATACATTCATTATATACACCATCATATCATTATATGATCGGTGTGGAAATGGAGAGTTTTTGATTTAATTTTTTAAAACTTCACCTGCATGAGCCACCTGAAGCATGCAGAACACACGGGCGATATGACTCCAGTAGTTCATGGTCGCAGTGAGAGCAAATCAGTCACCCCTGTTTAGGCCGTCTACAAGGAAGTAAAATATAGTGTCTGTAAAATGTCACACAGTCTTTGTTCAGCCGGCAGATAAGCGAAATACAACGGTTTTGACCAACAATGATTTTAACTGACAATGACATCACCAGTTTTCCATTGATTGATTTTCGTCAATTATAATGCGCATATTCCTGTCACTACGCCTAGAGTAGAGTACATATCATTAGGGGACGCGGTATTATCTTACGTGGATGATCGTTGCACACGCGTAAGATACAGGTTGCCAGACCGCCGTGATGTTGCTGGTGTGAAACAATATTCACTCTCTCCTCGGCCATTCTGACTACACTCTTAGCTGTGTGATTTGTGCCCAAACACACTTGCCGTAGTTCACCTGACGTAAAACGTCCCGTCGCATTAGTCCCGTGGGTGTCCCTGATCAGGACAGCTAAAAAGCGGCCAGTATTTCAGGAGTAGGATTGGATGGTCACAATATATATGTTACCTAGTCAATAGCCTGGTCATTGTATATCCTCAAGATACAGGTTACCAGGCCGCCGTGGTTTTGCGGTCGGAAAACAACATTCACTCGCTCTTTGTTAGTTGTTAGAGGCGAAGGAAAGTCCTACTGGAAGTACCTTGCGTTTGTCGAATGTTTGGGCCCACCTCATTCTGGGTGTGCAAAGCAATAACTCAAATTCAATTCCACTCAGGGGACGAGCGCGTCTCTGTAGTAAGGCTCTTTTTAGGAAGTAGCCCAGAAGTCGGAAGCAACGCATGGATACCCCGGGGTAATATTTAAGCTTTATCACAAATGTTCAGCTTTATACAGAAATACAGCAAGTAAAAAAACGTTTACGACCTCTATAAAACCACCAGCACGTATACATTATGCCATGAGAGCACCTAGTATAATAAGGGAGAATAGGGGATTCAAAACCACGATGAGGGGAATTCCCCATCTTCCTGTGCCTCAGCACATGCAGGTAAGGTGAGGTGAAATGGGGCTGAACGTTGCGTCCAAGATTATTGCACTTATATAGCGACGTGGATGCACGTGTGTCTGGATGCTAGTCCGGACCGATGCCGATTAATAGAGCTAGCCCACTGAGATACCATGCCGCAGTTTAACATGAATACCACTCAGACACAGTATACTGACTCCGAGCCGAGCAGCCTTGTTTTAGCCCCTTAATGCCGAGCGACAGGCAGGGTAACTACAAGTACCATCTTTTAACGTGTGTTGGTATGACGCGGCCGGGGATAGAACCATTGACCTTCCGCTCTCCGGGCGGACACTCTACCACTAGACGACTGGGGCGGCCCCTCACACATGCAGAGAGAATAGTGGCGCATTCGATTACTGTGCCCGTGCCCTATATAATATAGCTATAAATCGGCTTTATCTCCCATTTGATACCGCAGCATTGTTACAGGAGTGCGGACAATATATATATAAGATCCCTTTGTCGTCTACTAGCACAGCAATACATGATTTTCAGATAAACACAATCATCCTTACCTGTATTAACCGACTGAAGGGTAAAGCATAAAACTGGAAACTGAAAACTTCCAACAGCTCATACACGTAGACATTGTGTTGACATTTAATCCGCCATGAGGTCGCCTACAAGGAAGTAAGGAGACATGAAAACACCTATGTCATCTTACTAAGCAGGTACATCTATACACCTGCATGCACATCCACTGGTCGGCTAGGAGTCAGTATACTGTGTCTGAGTGGGGTATTCATGTTACACTGCGGCATCTCAGTGAGCTAGCACTATAAATCGGCATCGGTCCGGACTAGTACAAGCAGCCACACAAACACACACACGTACATGCACGGCGGTATATAAGTGCAGTGATCTTGGAGGCGACGTTAAGCCCCATTTCATCTCACCTCACCTCGACGTTATAGATAATATAGCCTGGAAGCTGTAAGAGTGATGATGAACGTATCTTACAGGCCAGTAAGGGTGTATCTTGCTCTTTTCACTATATACATATTAATTACTTGGCTACGCAACTGAAGTACACTAATTGTGGAATGCAAACTGATACAGCTTGCAACGCATACATGATATCTTACATAAATGCCAAGAAAGGCGGAGGAATATATCACAATGTGAACAGACTTTTATGTTGCGATTACCTTAGGTTATGGATGACTGGCTGTAAAAGGGATTCCTGCTGCACAAGTATTATTTATGTAGAGATTGGCAGTACAAGGGTTTTACTAGTCTCTATGACAGTCTTGTACAACCAGTTCTAACCTACGGTTCAGACATATGGGGTGCCCACAATTATAAGGAGATATTTAGAGCCTGTAGAGGTTTCCTGGGCGTTTCCAGTTATGCACATGGTGTCGCCGTCAGAGGAGATATGAACTTGTTAGATCCCCCATTATGAGGTGACCACAGAGACATTATGGCCTTGGTGCAGACTGCAGAGAATGTCATACAAGACTCATACCAATAATCCATTATTGGTTAAAACGTTCATGGGAAAATAAAGTTTTAAGAGTGTGTTTTTTTATTACGGACATTCGCGACGTGATGGGAAATCATCAGGATTAATTTTGAACCAAATTCCTGTAAGCCTCTAGGAAAAAGATTGAGATGCTAGGTATGAAATAATCCAGTCGATGCCCAAAATTAAGAACGCTCAGAAGGTTTTTAATTATTTTGTCTTTGGATACAGAACCTTATCTAATGCTATCCCATTATAATTTAAATTCTTTAATGTGTGACTCAAAAATGCTATTACGAATAGAAACGGGTATTGCATTCCACGAAATGAAAGATTGTGTATATTTTGTTTTAACTGTAATGAAGATGGAAAACATTTTCTTCTACAATGTTCATTATATGATGATATTTGCGATCGTTTCCCTGATTTACCAAATATGTTTTTTAATAATCCCGCTTTTTCATTAACACCCAAGATGTTAAAATAAAACTATGACTACAAACTGATGTCATTTTAGGAAACTTTGGGTTAAAAAATGTTCTTGTCGTAAACGTACAAAAACAGTTTAATACCTGATATATATTTTAGATGTATGTATACATTTGTTAGTGTATCATTACCCTAACGCCCGTGACGACCTGGGTTAGAATAGGTCTTCAGCAACCCATGTTCGCCGTAAAAGGCGACTATGCTTATCGTGAGAGGAGACTAACGGGATCGGGTGGTCAGGCTCGCTGACTTGGTTGATGCATGTGATTGTATCCCAGTTGCGTAGAACGATGTTCATGATATCAGTGACTGGTTTGTCTGGTCCAGACGCGATGATTTACAGACCGTAAAGCTGGAATATTGCTGTGTGCGGCGTTAAACAACAGACAAACAAACTAAACACTTCATACAATATACCACAATGCTTTTACTAGGTATCGCATTTTTTTGTATACCACTTGAAAAACCGAATCATTCATTCATTCACAAATATTTGAACATGACATATCAATATTAATTAAATATATGGATAGTCTTTAGGTACAGACCATTTCCTATGCTGGAAAATATATGCGTTGTCAGAAAAATCAAAATAGTTCTCACCTTCATCTATATTTCAAAGTATGATTTAAAAAAGTGCTGTAAGCAATATGATTCAACATGCCTTTTCTTGTAATGTATTACAGTAAACTACGTTTTATAACGGACACGCTTACAACGAACTGACGGTTATAAAGTATATAAATAACATATTTTTGGGTCCCGACAATTTGCTGTTCAAACATGTATATATGCTAAAAGCGAACATCGTGTACATGGAACATTTGAATTGCGCATAAAACAGCTGTAGCAAGAGGATTGAAGTGACTACATTATTTACAATTCAGTGTAACTATCGCATTATGACTGCTCATGTTGAGATATCACATTTCGTTTCACACTATGAACATTATACGGCTACAAACATAATTGTAGGAGTGGGGGTGTAACCTACTGGTTAAAAAGTTCGCTCGTGAAGGCCCAAGGTCGATTCCCCACATGTGTACAGCGTGGAGTGTCCCCCGCCATGATATTGCTAGAATATACTGACAAAGAGTAGCGTACAGTCACACTCACTCACTCAGTTATATACTGTAACTACGATATGTCTGTCAGTGTTAGTGCAACATGGCTGGATCGGAAAGTTGCAGCATCACATGCGCCAATCCGCTTTTTGATAACTGATAAACGTGTTAGAGACGACCGTGAGTGACAGACACGCATTTGAATGACGTACCAGGATATTATGAGATAATCGCTCAAAACCGATGTGGCTGCGTGCTCAGTTAACCAGGTCACTGATACCAGTGACTACTTGTTTGTATGTGGTAGTGTCAGAAGCTTCGCTCTAAACGCTTCTTCCTCCTCTGACTGGAATTCCATAATGTTCACATTTCTCGCAACCAGCAAACATATGACTGATGCTACACGGTAGACATTCTTACCATTAAGACACCATGTACAACTGCAAATTTTTAAACACTCCCGCGTATGAAATCTACACAATCGCAAGCTTGTCTCTAACCACCTCACTTTAGCTGTTTTGAATGATTGTATTGAAGCAACACGTATCCACTAGCTTTCAGTAAGAGGTCAATGTGAAGATGTCACAGTAATTTAGAATCCATTAAAACCTCACCTGCATGGGCCACCTGAAGCATGTAGAACACACAGGCGATATGACTCCAGTAGTTCATGGTCGCAGTGAGAGCATATCAGTCCTCAATGTTTAGGCCGTCAACAAGGAAGTGAAAGACGAACATGTGTCTGTAAAATGGCAATCAGTCATTGTTCAGCCGGTGAAATACAATGATTTTGACAAACAATAACATCACCAGGTTTCCATTGATTGATTTTATTATAGCATTTATGCGCATATTCCTGTCAAGTGTGCTACGCCCTGGTGAGAGAATATATCATGAGGGGACGGGACACTGTCTGACGTGGATGATCAGTGGATAAAACAGTTATACTTTATCCCCGCAGCTTATCTCATCTTTCCTCGTGTCGAGCTGCTGCCCAGCAATCAACTGGCAAACCACACTTGATTACTCAACTGAAACTCGTCCCACCTTCGACGTTTACAAAATATACCCCGAGTAAGCATACAATAACGACATAATTGTTAGTGTTAGAAATATTTTATAAAGTGTTTCGTAAAGACCTTTAAACATTACACTTATAAGTGCATTTCTCCCTGCTGTGAACAGCCCCGTCGCCTAAGTCCCGTTGGTGTCAATGATCAGGTTAAGTTCCAAGTCCCCAAATATTTTAGGAGGATGATTGGATGGTCACAAAATGTCACAAAGTCAATAGCATGCTGGCGGTGTGGATCATTGCATATGCTTAAGATACAGGTTACCATGCCGCGCGATGTAGCGGTCGAAAACAACATTCACTCACTCCTCGTCTACGCTAAGAAGATCATAGAGGCAGGGGAAACCCCATCCGTTGGTCGTTTTATATATTTGGACCCACTTCAAACTGGGTACACAAAGAAATGACTCAAAGGTAATTTCCACTTAGGGGACGAGCGCGTCTTTTCAGTAAGGCTCTCTTAGGAAGTAACCCAGAAGTCGAAAGCAACGTACTACGCTGTGCAGAGTAGCGTCCCTTAGGACTATCAGGGCCAAATAACCGTGGCTACGATTTCCAGTTACCCGGTGGTAATAATCCTTGGATTGTAAGCACAATACCCGTGTTCGTGGGTTTCACTAAAGAATTAAACATCTAAGGCTTGCATAACCGCATTAAAATCACTCATGCAACTATTCCGACAGCTGAGCATTCCCATTGCGGAATCGTACTTAAAGCAGCGTTAACATTGTCCTTTGTCTTTATTCTTAGACATAGCGTAGAAACGCTCTTGATCTTTGAGGCTTAAACGCTCTATGGTTTAAAAGTAAACGAGCACAACACTTTAGATAGTCTTCAAATTTTCCTTTATCTGAACGGGTTTATTAAAAGAAATCTAAACATTCGGGGGATTCGGGGATTCCAAACCACGATGAGCGAATTCTCGATCACCCGGTGACTCCCACATGCTGAGAGAAGAGTGGCGCATTCGACTACTGTGCCCGTGCCCTATAATGTGGTTATATACATGGTCTTTATCACCCTTTTGATAACGCAGCTTTGTCGCAATAGTGCTGGCTATATTTATAGAATAACCCACGAGGTACGAGTGATTACGGAAAATGTGTCACCAGTGAAATTAAATTAAATGTTTTAAGTTCCGAGCTTTAATTTCACGAGTGACATATTTTCCGTAATCACTTGTACCGAGTGGGTTAATCTATTCATTACCTTAATCATATTAAAGACGTTTCAAGGGAAAAAACTGTCGCCGATCAAGAATCAGCTGTTTTGTATCAATCCGCGTGTGAAAAAACACTGTCCACTCATCACTCCAATCCCATTTCTCTCTTAACGTGTTGTTACGCGTGAAAAATTTAGTTATGTTAAAAAACTAAAAGATCACAGTATTGCAGTTATATTTCTGTCTCATTTACACATCGTACACTATCTAGCATTGATAAAAAAGACAAGATTCCAAAAAGGTTCATCGGTTTTTTTTAAATCAACGCTTGTTTTGACACCATCTCGCCACTGACACACAGCCGCCGTCGTGCATCGGCAGAGACGTGCATTGTTACAACCCTAAATATAAAAATTACTCTTGATTTTAAAATTCTTACATTAAGGGTAACGTTTTAACTCTAAATGTAAAAAAACATTACATTAAGAGTAACAACCCGCAACCCTTAATATACAAATATTTTTTTTACATTAAGGGTTAATATAGTACATATGGCACCTTAATGTAAAATATTCTCATAAACAAAGATTTATTGGAAATATAGAATACCTTTTGCTATTTTCATGTTTTTAATTGTTTTTGCTCGGTTTCTTGCAATTATTCGTAATAAGCGACAGTGTGAGAAACTGACTTTGCTCAGACCTGAGAACAAGAGGGGCTAGTAGAAGGATGGGAGGCTCAGTATTGAGGACATGCCAGCTTTTTCTCTGGAAGGTGATGAGCATCAGTTGTCGACTCCAGTCGCAGATCGCGACTCAAGTGGAACGTCGTCAACTGTGGATCAGGAGCGGGTGCTGCCGTAAAGGTCGAAGGTTATGCAAAAGCATATCTTACATTGCAAGGAATATAGGAGATTTAACCAACCAACTGTCCTACATTGGCTTTGTTTCTTTTGTATATGAACATGGCATTGTTGCTTTATAGGAAACATAGTCAATAAAAAATTACTTTAGTGATTTTTTTCCAGAATATAGACATTTTTGTTTACCAGCCACAAAAAGGTCCAAGTTCGGGAGGTTTTCGGGAGGAATACTTTTGATAAACTATTCACTGAAGTTCGATACAGAGAACATGCTATTACTATTATGTTGGATAAAAGTATGTTTGGTTTCAGTAGATATACATTATGTGTGTTTACATTTATCCAGCCGGAGAGATTGACATGGTATGATAACCAAGATAGACATATGGGGTAGAGATTTTCCTGTATTTTTTATTGTGTATACTGGAAGAGTACCCAGCTGTTTCTATCATTGTAATTGGATTTGTTTGTTTCTCTGTTTGTTGTTTAACGCCGCACTCAGCAATATTCCAGCTATATGACGGCGGCCTATAAATAATCGAGTCTGGACCAGACATTCCAGTGGTCGACATCACTATGTGGAGAACGATGTTATTCACCATGTTGAAAGTAATATTTTTTACACAATTTGAGATGGAAAGATATTCATGTGATAAATTACTAAATAGTTTTGGAAAACCTTTTTTGGAAATGTGTTCAAATTTGAACATACATATTGTGAATGGAAGATTTGGAACTGATTATCAAATCGGTGACTGTACATTTATTGGGCATTTAGTGAGTGAGTGAGTTGGGTTTAACGCCGCTTTTAACAGTGTTCCAGTTATATCACGGCGTGTCAGCTCAATGTGGGAGGAAAGCCCGAAGCGATGCAAGCCTCAGACGTTTACCACTTCGGTGAAACTCACGAGCACGAGTATGGTGCTGACAAACCTAGCAACATAATCGGGGCGAACCGGGATTCGTACCTACAATCATAGGTTTCTGGCGTGCCCAAGGGACGCAACTCTGCACAAAGAATCGCGACGCCCTAGTCGACTGGGCCATCCGTGCCCCCTATTGGGCTTTTAGGGTGTAGAATAATAGATTATGGTTTAGCATCCCCGATGATGATGAATGTCTCTGTAAAAAAACATGAACGGTGCCATAGTTTAAATGCGTTCAGAAGAATCTTCAGATAACTCATACCTTATTAAGTATAACAAAGTTTGCAATGAATACAGATAACTGTGAGGAAACAAGAAGGACCAGTATGCACAATGTAAAAGGAGTGACCTGGAAAATGCAGCAGCGGTAGACTCTAAACGTTTCTGGGACATCATAAAGCTTGTGTCTGGACGACCGCAACGACCCAACCCTATTGATATACAAGACTGGGGGGACTATTTCCCGCCGCTGAATTCTGAACCAATGGGGATTAAGGATAATCTCGGTGAGGTGGAGGACATAGTGACATGTCAAGGTTATGTGCAAGAACTGACAATTGACATATTAGAATCCCCAATCACCAGATCCGAACTTTTTGAAAGCATCAGTGCCACGAAACATAATAAATCAGCAGGCCTTGACGACATCTATGGAACCCATTGTACAAATATGGTTTGAGTGCTAAAATGGGTAAAATGTTATAATCAATGTACAGTGATATAAAGGCTTACAACAGAGTATCTGGTATATGTGTTGCTTCATGGGTGTGAGGCAAGGGTGTATGCTTTGTCCCTTTTTGTTTCAGTTTTTTTTATATAAACGAATTGGTTACTGAAATGGAACAAAATTGTCGTTTTGGTGTTAAGTTAAATTTATATTTTTCTACTTCTATTTGCGGAAAAGTGTTTGGCAATACTGTCAACAACGTACAAATGAAGTTGAATGTCTTGCATGATGACTGTTGTAAATGGGAAATGCCAGTCAATCTATCGAAAACAAAAAGAGGGGAGGTTTTTTCACGTTATGACAAAATGGTATTATGATGGAAATGCGTATGAAGTAGTTACTGGATACAGTTATCTTGGCTTGTATTTTAGCAATAGATTACTGAGGTCGAATGCTTAAATGATATTGCAATTCAGGCAAGAAAGGTGTTCATGGTCCTGTTAATTAGTATACATTCCTTGAAACCACACTCGGCTCACTTTTACTTCAGATGTTTAGATACACTGATAACCCCAATACTTTTATATGGGTTCTGAAATTTGGGGTTAGTGACATAGAACCGAGTCTGGCAGATGTTAAGTTCTATTCAGTAGTTCGCTGTTTTCAAATGTGTCAAACATTGGCTGTTCTCTTTATATGCAGAAATCTCGATTACCCCCAAAAATGTTACAATATGTTGCGGTTGTACCATGAACAAGGCCACGTTAATTGGGTAACTAAACTTAAAACTGTTATTTTCAGATAAGGATTTGGTGATGTCCAGTGAGGTGAAGTGAAATGGGGTTTAACGTCGCGCCCAAGATTATTGCACTTATATAGCGACGTGCATGCACGTGTGTGTGTGTGTGTGGGTACGTGTACTAGTCCGGACCGATGCCGATTTATAGTGCTAGCCCACTGAGATACCATACCGCAGTTTAACATGAATACCCCACTCAGACACAGTATACTGACTCAGAGCCAACCGGTCCTTGTTTTAGC